GTAGGGAAAAACAAACAAACAAACAAACAAACCCCACAACCAAAAAACCAATCAAACAAGAAAACCACAATCCCCCAGCTTGTTTTCTTGTTTCTCCAGCTGGGTAATTCAGAGGGGCTACTGCTGTCACTGCAACCATACACGCAGCAGCCACGCACTGGACTGGCTTGAGGCTGGCTGTCTCTTGAATGTCCAAGAAATTTACCACAGTGACAGTTACAGAGACAAATCTCAGTTCTTGCTGTTTGTCAAATAAAGAGGACATTCCCTACAAACATACGGTGGGACTACCAAAAGGCAGCGTACAAGGGATACGCATCTACCTACACTAACATAGCTTATGATAAAGCAGTGCTTAGACCAGGAGATACGGGTGATTCAAAAGGCAGAGCGAGATGCATTCACGTGGCAGCCACAGCAACAGTTTCTCTTGTGCAGCCTGTAAAACCTGAGAGTGCTACATTATCACCTGGCTAACTGACATTTTGTTACATAAAGCACCTGACTTTGATGAAATGCTAGAAGATAGCATTTTCTGCAATACAGAGTTTCAAACAGGCTGATGGTTGATTAGATTTTGTGGAAAACAAACAAAGAAAGAAAAATAAAAGCCAAAAAACCAAACGCACGGGGAAAAAACCCAAACTGAGTAATGCGCCCCGACTCATTAGTTCCTTGACACTGGCAGAAACTGATTATCCCAAATGCTACCGAAGCAGCAATGCTACCTAAGCACTGACGTGCCAGCACATTTACACTGAGCAGCAGGAACTCCTGGCCTTCTAACACATACTGCAGCATAAGCTTCCTGATCCTCTTAAGAAAACCACTTCAGTAAAGTATAATTGCCTGTGTTGTTCTCTTCAGCAAACCCATGCTCCTGCTACAAATGCCAGAATTACCAGTGTGGTAAAACAACAAAGTTTTACCCCGTGCTGCAAGAGGGGGCAGCCTAGAAATGCTCTAATGCTCACACCAGTTCTAATGTACTGTTATCTGCCCTAAGGGTTTATTCTCACCACACAGCAGCTGGAACAAAGGTTTGGGACCTGGGCTTCTCTCCTTTCTGTTTGAATTTCTATCTGCAGGAAAACAGTTGACAAAGAGATGAAGGGGTAATATACCTACCAAGTACCCATACCATGATCAGCATTTCTGTCCAGGTGAACTGGGTAGTCTTCACCCTAAAGATCTGCTTAGGGTAATCAGTAACAGTTACATTCGGTAACGTTGTTATACCCTCAAATCTGTCTGAAGCATTGAACACCAGCAGGCCTAGGAAAATAATGAAGGATGCTGCATGTGCCACAAATTTCATAAAAGGGCTTCGAAGAATTCTTCCAAGCTGCAAAGGCAGAACGAAAGCAGTGACTCAGTTTTCTCAAAGAAACAAACTCTTTCATCAGGCTTTTCACAAGCATAAATGGGCACTCAGAGCTCAGTACGGTCTGAAACCACATTTTTAAAGGATACTCTCAAGTGCACTGAGCTGTTATGCTTTACCATCTCAGACAGAAGACTCCCAAAGGCAGCCTCATGGCTGCTCATCTGTTAGCGAGCGTCCATGTTATTCCATAAGCGCTAGATGGCAATGTTTGAGGGGGAAAACTCCAAGGAATTCACAATGCACAATGGCAGTGATCAAAAGCAGTTTGATCTATTAGTCACAGAAAGCAATGGGGGAAAGTGGGGAGGCAGGGCAAGCCCCTGTAAAAATAAATACACAGATAAAACCTCCAAGTAGCAAAATGCGTTCCCTACCAACAGGAGAGTACTATTAGCTTGTCTACAACTATAAACTAGCTCTAGGAAAAATTACAGACTCATTTTCTCATCTCTGACTGTTGTATTCCATCCACAGAACACGTATTCACAGCTAAAGTGCCAAATAAATATACTGTGTCTACTAAAAATGATGACCATTTCATCAGAATGGAGTAAGAACAATATCAGAAATACTACTATTTTTAAATAAATTCAGCTGATTTAATTCACATCTGCACCTACGAGAAGGACAAAACAGCAACAGCAGAGGCACCAGAAGAAAGGACCGGCTACCTCCAGAAGACCACACTGGAAAAAGCAATGGGCCTGTTGCTGTTACCAACTGTATGGAAAAGAAAAGTCTGTGAACCCACCCGTATTAGTCTTATCCTGCAAGCCGATGTCAGAAGTGCCAAGCTACAGCCCACCCCTTTGAGGCCAATACTGCCAGGAGTCTTTATTTAGGCAGTGAAGGTCTCGTGCTGCCAGTGCTGCTGCAACTCTGTATTGCACACTGAAAGAATACGGGCATCAGTGAGGCTGCACCACAGACAGCAATTTGTGCATTAGCTCAAGCACAGATTTGGCACTGAGATTGCCTAATGACGCTCTTTGGAGACCTCTTGCAGGGTATGAACACAGAGGATTACGTGTCCTTCTCAGCCTACTTCCCTTCCGAAGGAGCAGTACCTTTGGAATACGCCCCCTTTCTGTGGCCTGAACGGGACAGTGCTTGTCTCTGCACAAGATTGGGACAAGGTAGATGCTGGACAGACAACTTCATCTTCGCTGCTGTGTACCTCTCGAGGCCAAAGCTCTCCTGCCTCCTTCAGTACAGCAGAACAATATACAGCTCATCATATAATGCCCAATCTTTATTAATGTTAATATACAGTTCTAATGTGATAGTGTATCACATTACCAATATTATTAAATATTCCAAAATCCCCTATGAAAAGCTGCATTACCAGCAGAATTGTATAAGAAGAAAAAAACAAGTTCAGCAGACGGAGATCTGGAAGTAGCTTTCTTATTTCAAGGAACGGTTTTCCTGAAACTGGGGTCAGCTACTATGAACTAAGCAGATCAGCACACACTAAACACCATTTACTACCTGTGCAAACAATCTCAGGTTCCCTTCCTGCTCCTGACCTTTAGAAAGCATTTTGAAATTACAGTATCAAACAACTGATATGAACGAACAGTACTTTTATTTGATATGAGCCCTAGAAAAAATGGCAGGTGTTTGGTACTGGGAATTAAAGCTCAAGGACAAATGTCACTTTTTCATATTAGACTAGCTAAAAAATACATTAATATGTTTCTATGATACAGAGATGTGAGTGAGAAATATCTTTACTACAGTAATCACAGAAAGTGACATTTCAGAGAATAATGATAGTAACAATTATACTATTTTCATAAAGGTTTATCTTTAAATGACAAAAATAAATAAATAAATAATAATAAATATTTAACTCAGAGGAAGCAACAGATTTCCTTGAAATATGCAAGAGATGAGCAAAATCTTACCCTTTTTGAGGGTGAACTACAAAAGCAAAATATAAGTGAGTGAAACTCACATTACACTTTTAAAGGAAATTAAACTTAATGACCACATTCAGCACAGAAGTAAATTTACTTCATTTTTTAAAAAAACATTAATGCGACAGAGAAATCTGTCTTCCTTCTGATTTACCAAAGATCTGTCAATATGCTTCATTTGCAGATAATTCACAAGCTACAGACTGTAAGGATGTCAAAGAAATTGCTGTAATTTTCATATTGAGATAATGAGGAAATCTGGAAGCACCCATATATATTTTCAAATAATTTTAAAAACTAAGTGTTTACAGTTGCAATGTTTTACAAATACACCCTACCACATGGTGGGAATACTGTGTAAGTTTATTTCTGTTCTGTGGTTCACCTGGTAAACAAGACTCCCAGGGCAGTAATAACAAATATTTTACTTAAGATTAAGTTCTGCACCAGTGAAGTCAACAGATGTTCTGCTAATGGTTTACATGGGAACAGCATCAGATCTCAGGATGCCACCAGAGGAGACCTATTACAGAATCTGAGTGGTGACTTTTTAAAAATCCATGTTACTATTACATAGCATAGATTGTGAGGTGAGCACGATCTACGGAAATTAAAAAAAAAAAAAGAGCAAGCTTAAGTTTCTTTCAATTTAACAATTTATTTTCATAATTCATCACTGTGGTCTCCTCTTTATAGTGCAAATAAAACATCAGAACCTTCTGGCTCAAGACTAGAGATTACTAAAAATATCATAAATTAGTTAAAATTTGGAAGCATAAGAATTAGAGGTACAGTGTTGCATTTTGAATGCCAGCAATTGAAAAATGGCTCTCAGAATACTACAAGATTTACAATTTATAGACGTCCATACCCTGCTACATGGTGCAATCCAATAACCAATGGCTAGAAATGGAAGGCCCAATGCCACAACCAGGACAACCAGACACTTGATAGCTATGGTCTGCTCCCGTAATCCTGAGAGATTTTCATACCAGATTGTCAGCAGCTGTTGCTGACAGTTTGGATGGGCCACAAACTGTAAAGAAAAAGAAAGAAAACAAAGACATATTATAATTTATCAGAAGAGTTACATAATTGGTACATATATGATCAGCGAACCTTAACTACCTGATGTTAATTTAGACCTTAAGAAACATGCTTTTTTTCTCTCCTTTAAAATAAAGGCAAATAAATAAAGAAGAAACTGCTGAGTTCATTTAAAGAAGCCCTTTGGGGCAGGGTTGTACATGCAGACAGTCATTGCTGATAGAAGCCTTCTGTACATTATTACAACAGCTTCACATACCCAACTGGACCCTGTCAGGGTAGAACCTCAGTCCTAACTTTCAACAATTTCTTAGCAAAACAAAATTATCCCAGGCATGGGAAGAATTTCTGCAGAGACTGAAAATTCTGGTCTGACCATAATCCACTGTTAGCCTGTTCCTTTCATGCATATGCTCTTCACAGACCTCAAACATCATTGGCATTTGATTTGGTTCTTTGACAAAGGCTGCAAATACATCCTTAATCATCCATACATTTTCAGTCTAAAAGTTACTGAGGCAATGAAGCAAAAGTACAGCACAGAATTTTAAACTCAGTAGAAGCCACAGAGACAAATACTGAAAGGGTTTCTTCTCTCTTACTAGCATCAGTGGTGCTAGCTATCACCTCTACTTAGACGTGGGATTCAAAAAATAATCAGAAGCCACTTACTACAAACACATTTTTATGTTTGTGGAAAATAAAACTTATCACTCAGTAATACAAGGAAATTCTATTTTTGTGAACCAGATGAAAAGATGATCTTACGGTTTTGATGATGCTCTGAGGACTCTGTAATAGACTGCATTTTGTCATACAGTTTTGTATTTTCTCAAAGTTCATGACTTTGATTCTATCCCAGCTGAAATATATTAAATCCTCAAATTTTACATTTTCAAAAATAACTTTTACTTTTTCACTATTTTAAAAACTTGAAGTATCCTGAGTGTACAGATTATTATCACTAGAGAGTCTTCTGCTATTATTTGAGTTTCAATGAGCTTTTAACAGCTTAAGAACACATTGCAGAACGCTCAAATAAGATCTGTAATGTTTCAGTGATTTCTGAGCAAGATAATTTTGTTTTTAATAAATTCTTTTATGAGAGGTTCCTTTTATCTTTGTTGATTTGTTTACATTGTTATTTATCAATATTAAGTATTTGGTCATTTATTTCTAGAGCAGAAGGGCTAAAAGGTATAAAAAAATAAGGGAAACCACAAGAGTAGATGTATACAAATATCTGAAAATATTATCAATGTAACTGTCAATAATTTGACAATTACTAATAAATCTGAGTAAAGAATGATAGGCAGTTTCACAAAAAGGATCTGAAAATAATTCTGATAACTGTGTTGGATTAAGAGTGAGATTTGATTCAAGTTGCTTATATGTCAACAACAGCAACAAAAATACTGTTAAGACCTTGGATATCCATTTTTTGGTATCTTTTGTACTCTGTTGAGATCATAATGTACTATAAACACTGTCGTTTGCCAGGTCTTGCCTGCAAAACTTCATTTATATTCCAAATCTCATTAAAAAGTACATACAGTAGTACAACAGGGCAGACTTTGTCAAAAAAAAATCAAATTAAATCACTGGCAATGAAGACTGAGGACTTAAATCTCTCAAGAGGAGGAACCTGAAGCTGTTGCATGAACTTTAAAAAGGGAGGCAATCTTTGTATTTTAATCTACTTTGCTCTCAAAGCGACAAAAGGACAAAAGTCCCCAAGTATTTTGGCATGTGATTCATTAACCCGTTAGATCATACATTAAAGTAGGTTATATCTATGGCAGAATGGCCAAAATAAATGAATAAAATATTTTTAAAGCCTTTAAGAAATTAATGTCAACTCGAACTATGTTTGTATTCTTTTTATTAGACAATCACCTTTGAAGCTTATGCACCATAAAAACTGCCAGCTCAGGACTTCAAGAGACAAATCCCACAGTAGATTAACTGTGGCCAAAGACAGGAAAGTAAACAATTATTTCAAATTATGAATATTATTTTCAAAAGCAGGCTTAAAACTGTAGGGAAGAGGAGACAGAAGAAACACCCACATGATTTCTCCTATTACCAGAGAGAACTGGAAGAAAGAGGAAAGGAGCTTTAAGGGAGCTCGCCGAGGGCTAGGAATCAGCCCAAGGACCCTCGCACATCTCATCCAGAGCTGTGCGCTGGTTTATTCTTCTTGGCCTATCAACATTTTGATCTGATGCTATGAGGAGATCTGCCTGTGCTATAATTTTCTGCAGAAAAAGGAGTTTGTGAGTAAGATGTCAATGGTTGTAGCAAGTTCTTCTCTGGCATTAAGTCTAAGGGCTCTTCAGAAGATCTTAGTAACTTATTTAACTGTTGGCAGGTGCACAATATGGACAACTTCCAAGCCCTCAGAGCAACTCGGGCCATTTCTCCCATCCATAAAAGCTGTGAAATTCATCCTTCTCTCTGGCTCTGATGAAATATTTGAATTTATGAATTCATTGTTTTTTGTTTTCAGCAACGGCAGCTTCTTCTATGTTCCTTCCCTCCGACCCCTGTGTATCTGTCGCCTCACCTCCCCCCGCTTCATCTCCTTAGAGGACAGTAGTTCACATCATATTTCACCTACCAGTCACATCATACCACAACCTTGTTCCTTCTGCATTTCTCTTCTCTCATCCTACTTTCCATGCAGTTTCTTATTTTTCATTACATACATTGATCTTATTATGACATTCATCTAATATTTTAGGATCCAATCCAAATTCCAGTGAACAACTAGATGCATAAGGACAGTATTTGGTCGCTGAAAAAAAATCCCAATTTTAATTCAGATGCTCTTCCAGGCATGATTGACTTTAACACTTCAGATGCATTCAGTTCCATGTCCACGAACCAATTCATTGGTATGTAAATATTTTTCTGTATGACTAAGAGAGATTATAATGTTATTCCTAACACCCTAATGACTGAATTTAGACAGCAGGAACAGCTCCCAACATACTCTGATATATACAAACATACAAAGAGAATTTTGTATCTTCTTTCTTATCTACCAATTAGAAACTTCAATTTTTAAAAATTAAATCCTGTGATTTTACTCAAACTCTTTACTGATTTTGCTTGCAAATTCCATTCTAAATTTTATCTCAGCAAGAACTGCAGAACTTGGCCCATTGTCAGCAATGTCTCTGAAATTCTGTTGGCAATCTAAAGACAGAGTTAAGATACAATACTAAAAGCACTACCACAGCAGTAACTCAGCATACAGAGCAAGACTACTTGTTCTAACTAGATCTTCTTGGTTTGTAATTCCCTTAGGTCTTCACTATTGGGGCTGCAGTTTCAGTCTGGACTGTAGCTTCAAAATCATATCCTGTTTAAAGGACAAGCTACTCTTTAATGCAGTGTCTAAGGTATTAAGTGCAAGAATTTAATTACTAATAGAATTAAAAACTGCATTTTCCTAGCAGTGAACTTCTGAGCCCATTTGCTCACTTGTCATATGCATTTTCTTCTCTCCTCCCTTTGCAAAGGGCATACAGCTCATTAACCATTTCATGGAACGGCAGCTCTGTTGGCTGTACGGTGAACCCTAATGTAGCTGACCCAGAAGCACAGCTAGAAATACTTACTGAAATCTAAGAAACATAAGCTCCATCTTTGTCCACTTCCTACAGTTACAGAGTTGAAAGCACCCTATGTGGTTTCATCTGAATCTGTTCTGCAGTCAGCACATTGCTATAATCTGCTGCAGTTGTAACACAGCCAATCCCAGCATTAAAGGACCACTATGGCAAAGATGTTGCCTGGCTCAGTCCTTGTCATGCTCCCTGTAATGGCCGTTTACACAGAAGAGCACGTGTATGAATATGTTAACAACTCTACACCATCTGTTTGTTTCCTTCCACCAAGATCATTAGTCTTGTACGTTTTGAACTGTATTTGTCAGGAATTGGAGGCAAAACCTTGACTTTATACTCTTGCAACAGAAGAGAACAAGTTCACTATATGGAATTGTCTTTTTTTTAATTTTTTTTGCACTGTGTAGAGTTTTGTTATTCTGAACATTTCGGTGGCCCTTTGCTCAGCAATGAATTTCATCAGTGACAATGACTTTGAAGAAAACCACAGTCTTCAGCAAAAAAGCTGAAACACGAGTCTCAGCAAAGGTTTGGTACACAACAAAACGCAACAGCGTAAATAATTCATATGGCATTTAGATATGGTAACATGCTTTATGTTCTTTGATTTTTTCCCTTGTTCCATTCTTTTTAATTAATTTAATACTTGTACATATTTACAGTGAGTTTTGGTAATTAATATGCATTTATCTGCCGTAGACCAATTTTATATTGGAAACAATGATTTGTTGTTTGGGTTCTAAATCTAAAATTTTTGTTAACCCTCTTTTGAGGATATAATAAACACCAACATATCCCAGTTGTTCTGTCAGGTTGCTTACAATTCATTTTATATGGCAGATTGGCTCAACAGGTGGCCACAGAATACAGTGTTATTCATTCTGAAAGACACAAGACTTCTTGCAGAGATGATGAAACTATAACGGCTGTTAAGAATGGAAATTATGCTAAGCATTTAAATAGGTAGCTGTAAATAATACATAGGCATTGCTGTATTTCTTGAGTCCTCTCACAGTAGGACACAGTATTAATTATTTTCTATGGTAGGGTAGTGGGATCTTGAGAAGAACAACAAAGCTATATATTGAAAACTGCAACAATAATTGGACGTTCATTATGTCAAATGTGTGACAAAGAGCTCCATTTTTCAATGCATAACATTCATTCACAAAACAACTGTAAATTTAAAAATATTTCAAGAGGCATCAACTGAAAACACATTGTACTTTACAAAACACTGATAAATACAGGTGCAAAGATGAAGAACTTAAACAAACTGATTAATTAGCCACAAATATATTCCATACATCTTCAGGGCTGACTTTAAAAATAATTTTAAAGGAACACACAGAGTAAACAATGTAGAATTTGTCACTACAATACTGCCTTTTTGATGCCTACACAGTTGCAGATGCCCTGTTTGATTTACGGTCATATTGTAAAATAAATTAAAAATAAGATACTTAATAACAACTTAAATGTTCTCTTTTCCTTCTTCAAAGTAGTAAAAGGAAGAGCCTTCTTTCAAAAAAAATATATGTGTTGATAGGAGACTAGTCGGAAGCTGCAAGACTTACTTCCCAGAATTTACTTGCCCAATTATGTTACTTAAGGTAGAAAGCAAAGGTAATAAAAAGAAATAATGATCAAACCAGTTTTTCTCGTTGGTTGAAACCAACACTTCCACAAATACAGCATTCTCTTTGGATTAGATATTATCACACAGACTGGCAGGAAGATACATCCTTCCTTTCAACTGAGCAAAAATCTGGCTCCAACAAAATTTTTTTTTTGCTTAATTGAGAAGACTCTAACCAACTGTGGATGGCCTTGCTATACACAGCTGAGTTATGTCATTAAAATCTCCTGCCAATTCTCATCTGTGGAAAGTAGATTAAACAAAACTCCTTCACTGTAGTCCCCTTCTGCGAGCTTCTGCCTTGTGAGAATCTTGATTACACACACTATACCTCAGTAATGCATCTGACCACCAGTTCATAACGCCTGTGGAGTAACAAAATGACAGGGCCATCCTACTGCACTGTCTGAAAGCACTGGCTATGAGGAGTTACCTTTTTGACTTCATACTTAATGGCCAGCTTCACACGGCTCAGTGATGCTCTGTGTCTCTGTGCTTCAACTGGCTCAGAATTTAAATCCCCGTTCAGAATGGCTTCCACTTCTTCTGAGTCTCGGCAGAGATCAAGAACACCAACCACAAAATCCTTGCACTGCATAGACAGCTTGCGATAGTCATTCTGAAACAGAAGGGTTAGAGAAAATGTCCCATGATGAACATGTTTAAGAGTCAATGGAAAGGAAAAAAGAACCTGTACGAGTTACTAAAAATGAATACTGTTTGACTTTTACACACTAAGTCACATTAGAAGCACATCAGACGCTACAGACTTCTTGTATAGCAGAATCATTTCTTCTCTCACAAGAGGAGGCCACTTGACCAGAAGATGATGACAGCTGTTTAACAGAGCATGGAGACATTACATAATGGCATGATGAAAGTAACTCCAATGAGCAGCAAGGGGAAGTTGAACAGATAAGCAAGAATTGCACAAAACAACCAGGACCAGAACTCTTGAAATACTAACCTCAACCTTGCAAAAACCTTGCAGACAATTAATGAAATAATTTTTACAGAGTTGCCTCCCAGGCTATGAATATATTTCGGCTCTTCCTACACTGCTAAAATGGCTGCTTATTTTTACTCTGATGTATACCATATTCATTACCCATCTCTTTTCCCCCGCTCTGCTTCCCACTTACCCTTAGAATCCCTTTGCACCCAACAAGGTGTACAACGGGTTACAAAGTAATTGCATAGAATGACTGTGGCATGAACTTGTATGCCAGTCACAGAAACCAGCTTCTTCAAAGGACGGGTCCAAGATCCAAGTCCTTTCATAGAGCCTTCTACAGAAACAGAAATGTTTCTCTGTAGCTCAGTGGTGTTGTCAGTGTAAAGGTCGTCTCTTAGAGAATGACTCAGGAGTCTAGACATTTCTGTAAACCTTCACCTGTGGTGGTGAATGGAGCTAAAGCCAGTTGGAGGCCAGACACAAGTGGTGTTCCCCAGGGCTCAGTGTTGGGGACTGTTCTGTTTAACACCTTTATCAATGATCTGGACTAGGGGATTGAGTGTACCCCCAGCAAGTTTGCAGATGACACAAAGCTGGGCAGGAATATTGATCTGCTTCAGGGTAGGAAGGCTCTGCAGAGGGACCTGGACAGACTGGATTGATGGGCCAAGGTCAATTTTATGAGGTTCAACAAGACCAAGTGCCAGCTACTGCACCTGGGTCGCAACAACCCCATGCAATGCCACAGGCTTGGGGAGGAGTTGCTGGAAAGTTGCCAGGCAGAGAGGGAGCTGGGAATACTGGTCAACAGCCAGGTGAACATGAGCCAGCAGTGTGCCCAGGTGGCCAAGAAGGCCAACAGCATCCTGGCCTGTATCAGAAATAGTTTGGCCAGCAGGAGTATGCAAATGATCCCTCCCCTGTACTCGGCACTGGTGAGGCCGCACCTCAAATACTATGTTCACTTTTGGGCTCCTCACTACAGGAAGGATATTGAGGCACTAGAGCATGCCCAGAAAAGGGCAGCAAAGCTGGTGAGGGGTGTTCCCCAGGGCTCAGTGTTGGGGACTGTTCTGTTTAACACCTTTATCAATGATCTGGACTAGGGGATTGAGTGTACCCCCAGCAAGTTTGCAGATGACACAAAGCTGGGCAGGAATATTGATCTGCTTCAGGGTAGGAAGGCTCTGCAGAGGGACCTGGACAGACTGGATTGATGGGCCAAGGTCAATTTTATGAGGTTCAACAAGACCAAGTGCCAGCTACTGCACCTGGGTCGCAACAACCCCATGCAATGCCACAGGCTTGGGGAGGAGTTGCTGGAAAGTTGCCAGGCAGAGAGGGAGCTGGGAATACTGGTCAACAGCCAGGTGAACATGAGCCAGCAGTGTGCCCAGGTGGCCAAGAAGGCCAACAGCATCCTGGCCTGTATCAGAAATAGTTTGGCCAGCAGGAGTATGCAAATGATCCCTCCCCTGTACTCGGCACTGGTGAGGCCGCACCTCAAATACTATGTTCACTTTTGGGCTCCTCACTACAGGAAGGATATTGAGGCACTAGAGCATGCCCAGAAAAGGGCAGCAAAGCTGGTGAGGGGTCTGGAGCACAAGTCCTGTGAGGAGCAGCTGAGGGAACTGGGGTTGTTTAGTCTGGAGAAAAGCCTGAAGGGAGAGGTTATTACCCTCTACAAATACATGAAAGGAGGCTGTAGTGAGGTGGGTGTCAGTCTCTTCTCCCAAGTAACAAGTGATAGAATTATAAGAAGTGGCCTGAAGTTGCGCCAGGGGAGGTTTAGATTAGATATCACAAAAATTTTCTTCATTGAAAGGGTTACAAGGCTTTGGAACAGGCTGCTCAGGGAAGTAGTTGAGTCACCATCCCTGGAGGTATTTTCAAGACAGGTAGATAAGGTATTTAGAGACATGATTTAACAGTGGACAGGTTATGGATGGACTCAATGATCTTAGAGGTCTTTTCCAACCAAATTATTCTATGATTCTATAACGTTCACACTCTTCATTCTTACTCTTTTTGCTGCCTCTCTATAAGCACGCTTATGTCTATCTTTTAGGTGCTACCTTTAAACTCCTCAGTTGCTCATATATGTCGACATCACAAAGATTTCCATCCATCTAATCTCCTATCTCTTCTGACAAAACATTTGTGGCTACATTTCAAAACTTTAAGGTAACTCTGTAAAGCATGCACATGTGAATCTTTGCTTGCACAATCTCAGCTTGTATGTGTCCTCCACCAGCTCTGTGACATTACCTATAAGCTCTTATCTGATATCTACTTCAGTAGAAACCTTGGTCTTCACTTACACATCCACGTGGTCTCAGCTAGATTTCTAGGATTTCTTTATCTGAGATGCAGCCTCTGATTTCCTCACATGAAACTACAGTTGTAGGAGGAAACTTGACTGAACCTGCCTATGCTACCTTGTTGTATTGAGTGTTTCAGTGCTTAGTTGAAAATAGCATAGCCTTCTTTCTCACAGCTTTTCTTCTCCCCATGCCCCCCCCTCCCCGCCATTAGACCACCAAAAGGCTAGCTGGAGTCCTCTGTTTATTTTTGTGTGTTTACTGTTCATTTTCAGACACTGCCTTTTTAACATCACTTTTTCATTTGTGGTTCCTGCCTTCTCAAAAATGCTTCCTTGCTGCTCTCATAATTTTCTCATTTAATGTCTTTTTTTTTTCCTCCTGAAAAACCTCAGTTTTCCCCCTTCCCTAAGTAACTTTTCCCTTCTTGTACTGCTAGTTTTATTACATTTTTAACTTAGAATCTATAAAACGGGATAGAGAAACTAACATGTTCTCAGTAGTTTCAAATAACTTTGGGAAAAGACAGCACCATAGAATCGTGGCAATGGTTTGGGTTGGAAAGGAGCTTTAAAGGTCATCTAGTCCAACCCTTCCCACAGTGAGCAGAGACATCTTCAACGGGATCAGGTTGCTCAGAGTCCCATTCAGCCTGATGGGAAAAGAGGCTGCACAGGATAACTTCAGGAATCAGCTACCAACCTCATAGGTCAGATTCAGATAAGAATCAAAATTAAACATTACTGGAGACAAACAAAACTACTAGGAATTGTGCTATTGTGGAAGACTAATATCCCAGATACACACTTGGAAACAACCAGTCCTAATCATAGACCTAAACAGGACCCAGTTATTTCCTTTGTTCATAGGTGGCAAATTAATTCAGTTGTCAGTGACCCATCAGGACATAAGGCTATTTTAGATTTGGTTTTGGTATCCAAGGAGAACAGTACATAAGAGCCAATTATAAAAATAATCCTGGCGTGTGATTAAATTCAGTGAAAGGATAACCAAGCATAAGTATGACTAACATTTAGGACTTTTCCGTTAAGAAAGCTAGTCAAGGAGGTGAACTGTACTTACAAGCATGGAGGTCTGAATGTAGAGAAGGCTTTTAAGTAAAAGATGTGGAAGTGATTAGACTTTAGATCCTACAAAATGAAAACTTTGCAGAGAAGGACTCCAGGATGGTGACTAAAATAGAAGTCTTAAAAAAAACCAAGGGGAAACCGTCTTTCTTGATAGTCTAAGTCAAGAAAAAAAGTTTCATCATAGAGGCCAAGAACTCTAAGTACAAACTGTTAGAAGTAGCCTTGTAAATGATTAAGCAAAGCACAAAGAGGTTCTTCATCATATTAGTAAGACAATGTAAAAAGAAGGTGGGATTTTTTTTCCATGAAGACAAAGGAGAAACTAAAAACAGCCCTAGTAAAGCCACAAACAATACCTTGTCTTCAGTTTACTTAAGTCATATGTTCCTAACTCTCTTCTTCACAACAGAATTATTATGTATCTGTGAGAACTTGAACACTCTCCCTTAAATTTCCAATTTCAAGCTTACACATTTCACTACAGCTAAAGGAAGGCATTTACTGACATGGCTGAGCGAAAAGCATTATAACCATCAGATACAGCATAATGTTAATTTAACAGGAATAAGATCAGCAATCAGTTTTTATTTAACACTATAAAGTAGCTTTAAATCTGCTATTCGCAGCATATGGGAGGATACAATAACTTCCCTGACTTCAGCAGTACTACCATATAGCTAAAAGAGAAACTACATTCTTTCTCACCTGAGTTTGCACGCACTTTTAATTTTACAAGGAAAAAAAAAGACTTTGTTTTAGTATTATGTCTAGCTATGCTATACTCAAAGTTGAAATCTCATTATGGTTTAATAAAGTTTAGTTTCGATGTTTTTGCATTATTCAAGTGCTTTAGGATATATCACAATCCAAATTTTGTCCTTGCATGAATGAACACTGGCTGTCCAGTTGTGGGCAGTGGCTTCACTTACAATGTCTTTTCTCATTCCTTTGCTAACTGTAAAGAAAAAGAAAAAGTGGACTTCTAATAGGAAATAATAATAGTTACCCTTGCTAAAGTTGCAGTCCATTTTCTCTACCATTTAACTATTCTCTTTTTCCTTAAAATAACACAGAAATGTAACACGAAAAGTTACGTTACCAAGAAGTTACCTCTTAACAACTTCCAATATAAAAGTCAGGAAAATCTAATTTTCTTTCCTTGTATTTAAGCTGTAACCACACATGCAAGTACACAAGCACAGCCTGGCATCAGATTCATCACATCCAAGTGAGTTTCTGCTACAGTCAC